CTTCTCTTAGGTAGCTCATCTTATTCACACGGTTTTGAATAATTTTAATATGCTCGTGCCATCTAATCTAATTTAAGTATTATGTCTAGGACTTTCTGAAGCATCAGGAGCAGATATCTGCTTACTTTAGAACAGTGGTTCTCAAACTGTGAGATCCTTGGGATCTCATTTCAGATACTACATTATAATTCATAACAGTAGCAAAATTAAAATTATGAAGTAGCAACAAAATAACTATAGTGGAGCGGGGGTCACCATAGCATGAGGAACTGTATTAAAGGGTTGCAGCATTAGGAAGATTGAGAACAACTGCTTTAAAGTCTGGTTGTAAAACTATACCTGTCATTGTCCTCTTAAAACTTACTAATTTCCAAAGTCCATTTCCTGTTTCCCTGCCAAGGACCCTGTGTATGGATTCTCAAGGCAAACCTCTGGGAGTGTCTTCAGCACCAGCTACTGCATTCACACCCAAATTGTCTTATGGAGAGAGCCTGGTGCAGTCTTTTCCTATAATGTATCTTTGATCCATCTGACTTTCCATGTCTACTGCAGTCACCATCCTGTGTAGATATGTGCCTCCTCCTTATCTCCTAGCTTTCCTTCCTACCCAGCTCTTACTCACTCTTCTAACCCCACCCTACACAGAAGCCAGACTGAGCTTTTGGGGGAAAAAATGACCACACTGATATTTCTCCTTTATAGAAATCCTTTACTAGCTTTTCCATCCATCTTTGGATGAAGTCCAAATTCCTTTTGAACAATGAGGTTCAATGGGATCAGACCCCTGAATATCTCTTTGGTCTCCCCTCACCCAATATTTTATTAAGAAAATTTCCAAAGAGGCAGCAGAATGAACAAAACTGCTTTACAGTGATGATTCATGGACCCACTTGGTTTTCACCATTAATGCTTTATGGGCATTTTATCACATTGCTATCTATTTACCCACTCCTCTGTTCTTCCATTAGTCAGTCTTGGTTTTGGTGTATTCCCAATTAACTACAGACCCCGCCCTCATTTTTAAATACTTTCCCCTACAGTCATAGCTGTAACTATCTCTCCACTCCTTAAATGTGTCAGATGATTTTGAATGCCTGGGTTCCTGTTCCCACTGCCCCTTCTCCCTAAGGCTCCTTGAGCCCTTGCTAATGCAGCTCTCATCCTTCGGTCCTTAGCTTAAACTGCCAGATGATAATCTACCCTTGGATCCCAGTCTAGATTAGACCCCTGTTCCATCACACGTGTGCTGTACGTATTGACTTGCTAAATTAACCATCCAATATTTTATCTCACCTGTTAGACTGGACATCCTATGAAAGCAGAGGCCATGTCGGTACTTGAACATGCATTTTTTTTTAACCTCTGCAGAAAGCTAGGTGATATTTCTAGAAAGACTAAAGGTAGAACCCACTAACAACTAGAAGGAACTACAAGAAGCAATTAACCCATTCTTTCTTGAATAATGTGTAAACAAGATGTTTTTTCTTATTACTTCTGGGAGGAAATGGAGCTTATTGATGCCAAACTATAACCAGCAATTAACCAGCAATTAAGAAAATTGCTAAATGACAAGTTCCCTGGCTAGAGGACCAGACGGGTGGCTTCTGCCATATTCCTGATAACTCTTCCCCTTGAAAGTACCCTCAATCAACATACAGTTTAAAGCAAAAGAGAATGCTTGATATGAATACCAATAGTTAGAGTGGATTGGGGCTGATTTGTGGTAGGCAATATCATAAATGCTTTTTCTGTATCAGATCATTTTTTTTCTGTGGCATAGGTTCTAATATGATTCCCATTTTAAAGCTAAGAAGACTGAGGACCGTAAAGCTATTTTAACCCATGTCATTTATGACACTATTCTGTGACCCCATTTGGAAGTACAAGATTAATTTAGAAAATCCACAGACTGCCATAATGAAGACAAGTGTTTCAATTACTACAGAAGACATCCAAAAGTGCAGAAAGTCACATTTAGATCTTAGAGGGTTAAGACACGAACCCTTTGGGAACCTTCAGCCCCACATCTGACGGAACCACCATGTTGACTTTATGCTTATGGTCACCCCAACTCTGTCTTTCTTTACATGTCACCCATGTACACATTTAAAAATTACTTCTGAGAAGATTCTGCTCCAGATAGAAAGAAGCTCAGCTCATACACTCAGGAAACCATTGTCGTCTTTCTGGTCATAGGAGGCTGCATGCAGAATTTCCTAGTGAAAACATGTGGGCTTCAGGCATAGTCTCTAGCTTGAAGACTACATCTTCCTAAATGGATGGCCTTGTAACTAAAAACATCTCAGGGGCTTCCATTGACATCCCACTCTGGATATGTGGAAATGCACATAGAAAAGCTCAGAAGAGTGCTTGGAGTAGAAAATGCCTGATGATGCTGATGCTGACTTGAGAAAGCAAGGAAAGACAGAAAGCTAGAAAAAGGTGGGAGAGGGCAGCAACTTTGATGGCCCATCAAGGAGAGAAAGAGAGAGAGAGAGAGAGAGAGAGAGAGAGAGAGAGAGAGAGAGAGAGAGAGAGACTTAGTTCATGGCATATGCATTGCTCTTAGCTAGATGAACCTGCCTGCAGCTACCACTTACAATGCAAATTGAGCTTGGAGTCCTTCACAGTAACTACACAGCAAACCCCTTTCAGCTTTAAATAGAACACTGCAGTGTGGGGTGATCTGAGCAAAGGGGGTGGGATCCAGAGAAAACACGAACGAGAGTTTAGTGGAAAGTATTCTGCTGTATTTGAGCAGGTAGAAGCGTGAATGTAGAGAGATAATGAAGAAAACAGAAAAGTAGTATCTACTAAAGGATGAAGAGGACAGTTCATCAGTAAGGGGGTTTAAATTTTCAAGAAGGAAAAGAAGTTTTGAGGAGGAGAATTTTGGGGAGAAGACTTGGATCTGCTGTGCTCTCGGGGCAGGCTGGTACTTCCTCAGGTGTGCATTAGAAGGGGCGGGGAAGCTCCTTCCCTGCTGTCTACCTCAACTGAATGGATGGCTGAGAAAAAAAAAAATAGACTGAGACTACAGAGAGCTTCTTGCTCTGCCAAGCTTCTCTTTCATTTCCCCCTCTTCCCAACTCTTCACTAAGACTAGGTACAGGGGTCTACAAGAGATTGGTTTGTACAAACCGGAAAAGATTAAAAGCTCTTTGCTGTAACCTCGTGCCTCATTGTTACTATATAAACTCAAACATTCCATCCAGAATCAGAATTTATAAAAATTCAGTTACATAGGTACAAAGGTAGTATCCAGGACCCTGGAAACAATAAAGGGTGTCATTTTAAACTTCTTCTTTCCACAAATGGCATTCCTGCACACCTGGCTCCAGTGCGTCCACCTTCTCAGTTTGGTAGGTTTCCCTTTGCCTGTGCAATGTAATAAAAGAAAACACGAAGGCAATCCTCTTTCTTTGTAGGCATACACAGAAAGCTCCCTACCCACCACACAGCTATCAGGCTCAAGGCTGACTTCTCTGGTGGATGGCATGTGCTACCTGGTCACACTCAGTCACAAAGCACAAAGACTTTAAATCATACTGCTGCTGTGGAAATATTTTTTTTTTTTTAAAAATCAGCAAGATTTTTTAAAATGGGGCAGGGATAGGTGGTCCATCTTAAAAAGTCATCTCTAATATCTCAGGGCTTGCAGTGCATCTGGTCCCATAGATGTGTTGGGCTTGATGGTCCCCAGACATGGTGATGAATGAAGAAAGTGTTTTCAATAGCACTTGGAATTTTTCTTTCTACAACTTCCAGAGACGTTTGCAGAGGGTACCACCATCACCCCTTCCCCCATATTTATGTGTCTTTTTATTTCCCTCGGAGCTGGCGCTCTTAATTGAACCATTGCATTTCTCTGGCATTCTTCTGATGTGAGTAAAATTACAGAGTTCTTTTTTTTTTTTTAGCATTCTAGAAGAATCACAGGCTAATATGCCTTGCAACATTTTCCCTAAGCACCTTCACGCACATTTTCTCACGTGGAATATTACCATAGGACAATGCAACACTTCGTATTACTTGCCGAACCAAGACCCACAGGTAGAAAATGAAGCTCAAATGCTAAACTTGTGTCATTCAAAGGAAACTAAAACGCCTCATGCACAAAAGGCAGGATACAATCCACCTGCTGACTTTCCCTGAAGGCCTTCCCAGAGCTTATGCTGGTGAGAGAGAGAGAGAGAGAGAGAGAGAGAGAGAGAGAGAGAGAGAGAGAGAGAGAGAGAGAGAATTTCACCTCTTGCCAAAGCTCAGCTTGCTGAACCCTCCTGCTTTCTGCTGGCTGTTGATTCAGCAGAAAGTACTGCTGCAGAATTCATAATGGTGATTTTTTTTTAAAGGCCCCACGGATCCCGTTGCTCGCCCCACGTGTCAGCCTCGTACGCTCGCCACGGAACATGATTCCCCAGATACCTTTTAAAAATTTCTGGCTAATGTACTTTCAAGGGGAAGAGGGCTCTCTCACTTTCGCAAAAGGGCCTTTAGGGGGGTTTTGATTGTCTGAGCAGGTAAACCAGAGAGTCAGAGAGATGAATGGGCAAGAAATGACGCCTTGCCCTCACTGCAGCCACCAAAGAGCCTTAGCATTACCATACCCAGAGAGGGATAGACCAAGGTCTCACTGGGCCCCTCCCAGCTCCTTTCAGTCCAAGACTCTTGTAAGCGTCTTGGGGCAAGAAGGGGTCATCTGCTTCCTTGGGATCATCTGTCTGCCTGGGAGCCGCGCCCTGAAAAGCCTAATCCCTAAAGGCCATTTTAACTCCCAGGGGCGCCTGGTCCACCTGCTGCTTAACTGGGGCTCGAGTCACAGAGCCTGGATGGCTGTGCTGTACCCCAAGGCAGTTCGGGTGTGAGCCTAGTCTGAGCCCCCGCCCCAGCCCCAGAGCCCCGGAGAGTCTCCGCCACTAGGCGCCTGGCAGCTGGTGAAGCACAGCTATCCGCAACTTGCACCCGACCCCAGCGGCGGAATGCGGTCGAGCTGGCATTACCTTCGGTCGCATAGCTGTGATCGCGCAGGAAACTGTTGTTGATTTTGCGGGTATCAATGTCCTCCTCCATTGACAGCAGGCTTACTTGCGTGGGAACCAGAAGCCGGCAGACAAGTATCCATGATCCCACCCCGCAGCCAGTCTCACAGGAGAGGGGGGCAGGGGAGCCAGTGGGACTGCACCATGGTCCGAGCCTGAGGAGGAGACGGGGAGGCGGAGAGAGAAGAAAATAAAAACCCGGCAATGGAGCTGTCACCTCCTCCACTCCGTTCTCCGAGGCTGCGGTGGCTCCTCCCGCACGGTGCGCTCACTTCAGCTCCAATTCCCAGCGAGGATGCTGTGCCTGCCTCCTCTGCCTCCGGGTACCAGGAAGCACTGTGTTCCCCACGAGGGGTCTGGTCCTGCCCAACCGCCCAGGAGGCGCTCCCAAGCGGGGCTGGGGAGATGCCCAACAGGTTCCTTTGGTAGGCAGCGGCTCCAAAATGCAAAAAAGGAGAGCCCTCCTCCCCTTGGGAGAGCGGGCAGCCGCGACAAAATGGTGCCTTTCCGGACCCACACTGCAGTGGCGAGATGGCAGGGGCAGGATTCAGGCTTGCCTTGCGGAGATGAGGGTGCTGGTCCCACGGGAGGGCGGCTCCCGCAGGCGGGGGCTAGGAAAGCTGGCGGGGAGCTAGGCTGGGCGCTGTGGCCAGCGCCAGCGCACTCACCCTCACACCCACAGGCGCGCACTCAGCAGCTGCTGCTGGTGGTGCTGCTGCTCCTGCTGCAGGAGGCTGGAGGCGGCTGGTGCATTAAAGGCGAGGCTCCTCCCAACCGCGTCAGCAGCCCCAGGACTCTTCCCCAGCAGCAGTGGGAGTCCAGGCAGAGGCTGCGGCTGCTCTCTGTTGCAGAGGAGTGCAAGCAGCAGCCAAGGACACCTGGACGGCGCGAGTGTCTAGCTTGCAGGTTCACCGGGGGAAAAAAGGCGTGGACGTGCTATTCTAATCTCTCCCCTCTGGTGCCATGCAGCCAAGGGCAGCACAGGGCTTGTGTTCAGGAGTCCCTCAGCTGACTGCTTTGCTCCGGACACCTGCCTGCACTTCATTCAGGACAGCATTTAGAAGTAACTTCCTTTCGGTAGAAGTCCACATCTAGGTCCCTTTTGCTAACCGGATATGATGTAGATTGCCCCTTACTGAAGTTCAAGGGCGAGGCCTGGAGCTTCAAACCTGGAGAAAGCTGAAAAAGGAGCTTATTCAAAGGTTAGCCCTCCATGCTAGGACTAGAGAGCAGAGCAGGGGCCAGAACTTTGAGACTGCCATCATGCCCAATTCCTTTCCAAGTGCTCTAACGTCTAACTGTGAGACGCTGGTGTTCAGAAATGCATCTGTGTCTTCACAGGCAGAGAGACAGTCTACACAACACAGGGCTGAGTTATGGGTCAATCTATTCAGTCTGAAGAAGTGCATTCTCCATAGCCCTTTGTGTTTTCTTTTGGACAGACATGGGAGCTTCTCTGTTCAGGTGTGCTTCTTCAGAATGCCTTCCGTGTGCCCTCAGCATAATAGGTCCGTGAACGCAGGAGACTCGGGCCAAGGAAAGCCACTGCTATCCGGACAGAACTTAAAGAATCCAAGGGCACAGAAAGAGTCCCATCTTCTCACTTCAACTCAGAGCAAAGGCAGGATCCACTCCCAAGCCTGCATTTCCCCCAAATGGCAAATTCCACATTTGAAAGAAAATGAGATCGTTACTGTTATGAAACAAACAAAATAATTTAACGGAGCCATCCAAACATACTAGAAGAGCAATTTGGAAAAGAACTTCCCCCTGCTTTCCTCATGAAGCAGTGTACACTTCTATGGGAGAGACATCAGCAAATGTCTTGCTCAGTTAAGCTCCACGAGTTTAGCCAGATGGGCCCCGAGGGACCCGTGAGTTAATTATATACATACAATGAATGCTTGGGCTAACACAATTTAGAAAGTATTTGAAGTTCAAAAAAATGGAAAAACAAGTCCTTAACTGAGGTTGGGAATTGCCACTAGGTTTTTAAGAAAAAAAAAAGTAGATGTTTCTAGAGGGTGGAAAATGGTATTGTTTCTACATCCAGAAAGGAACTGCATCTCTGGAGGGTAGGGGGAGCAGGAATGTTTCCCTATGATTAGGAAGTGAAAGGTGAGCTTCCAGTAGACTCTATTTTATTTTCAGGTGGTTGTTAAATCCTATACCCTTGATTGACTATTTGTTCAAGAGCCACAGTGAAATTTAAGTAGCAGATGAGAATTGGTAACAAGTTGGTTCTGTCTGCTTCAGTATGGGTTGTCTTAGTGGCATCTTCCATGTTGAGCTGGGAGTCTCACCAAGGCTGCAGGGTCCCATAGTCACACCTTTCTGCTTCTCTTGGAGATTGGCATAAGGCAAGGAAGGAACAGAAGGAAAAAGGTTCATCTCTCAGTGCATCGAGGTATGGAGATGTCTCACCTTTATTTGAAATCATCTTAGACTGTGACAGCTGAGTTTAGCATCTACGGGGAAATCCCCACCCCCTTGTCTCTTTAGAACAGTGCCAGGTAGGAATAGAGATACATGGTGGATCAAGTGGGGCTCAGGCTTATTGGCCAGACTGGGTGTGTGAAATTTTCCATAGTACCCCATGAGAAATACAACCTTTCTCCAGCCTCTGAGTCTACTAAATTTTCCCTTTGGTATTTCCTGTAATATTCTGCCTGTATTCACTCAACAATACAAAAGACACAAGTCTTAAGAAGGCAAATGAGAAGGATTTTCATTTCCACCCATTAAGTAGACTTCATAGTTCTAAAAGACTGTTTCTAGTCACTGAGATTATACCATAGACCTCTACTATTTTTTGTTTCCACAATCATTTTGTCCTTTTCATGACATTTTATTTTCTAGTATTTGCTTCTTATCATCATCATCATCATCATCATCATCATCATCATCAAATATTTTACCATGTCTCCAACATCAGGTGCCTGCCACTTAGCAGATGCTTGCTTATATTTATTGAATTATAATACATATTGATTAGATAAGTAAATTATTGAATCTAGTTAGTGGTATAAGTCTTTCATTCCTCTATCCATGATAAAAATCATGCAAAAACGTTCTATTGTCAGCCTACAGGTTTCTAGCTTACAACTCCTACTGCTATGGGGATAATTGTTCCCACTGAATTCTGTATGTATATATGCTAAAAATGACTAAACATTTGATATGTGCTAGTATTGGTCTAAATATTGGGAATACAGACAATAGAAACAATGTTTGTTTCTTCACAGAAGAGTGTGAACTTTGAAATTGTGCACATACTATAATTGAGCCAGTTGTGGTAGCTAGAATCAGAAGGATCATAAGTTCAAGGTCAGCATGGGATATGCCTTTCAAAAGGGGCTGGAAAGATAGTTCTTCAGATAAAGGTGCCCACAGCCAAGTCTGATAACCTGAATTTGATCTCCAGGACTCACATAATAGAAGGAGAAAACTGACTCCTGCAAGTTGCCCTTTGACCTTCACATTTACACACACACACACACACACACACACACACACACACACACACACACAATGTAATAAAAAGTTTAAATAGACAGGCCATAGCATAACATCAAGTATTAAGCTGCAACATCAGATAAAGCTTATTTTCATCTACCTATTATATTATTGTGTCCTCAAGCAGGTTACAAAATCTCACTGGGCCGTAGATTTTCTTACCTATACATTAGGGAGAAAAATGGCATCAATTTCATAAAACCACTGTGAAGATTAAATAAAATAATACCTGGAAAGAAAACACTGCTATTCCTTAGAGGTTTCATTTTGTTTCGCCATCATTACCCACCACTGATTTCCAACAAATGTGTGTGCCAGACACTGACACAGGATGGAGATTCCAAACCTCAGTTTGTGAGATGGTTAGCTGGTCTCTGTCATCATGAGCCTTAGTGTCCAGTTTATAGTTTAAGTAGAGGGCCATAAGCTCCAAAGGGGGTTGCAGAGAGTACTCTGAATAGCTGACATCATTCAGCCTTGTGTCTACACAGAAAGAGTTAATTACAAATATACTGCACTCTTACGTTACCTCATTCAGCATGGCAGCATGTGGGTACACTTATTTTTTTCTCACCCTTGTCCTTGGCCCCCTCTCCAAATACAACTCTTCCTGCTTGCCTAGGTAGGCTAGTGCTTCTGACACAAACATGCTATGGATATTGTTCTGTATAAATAAAACACTGATTGGCCAGTGGCTAGGCAGGAAGTATAAGCAGGACAAGGAGAGAGGAGAATTCTGGGAAGTGGAAGGCTGAGGGGAGACACTGCCAGCTGCCTCCATGACAAGCAGCATGTGAAGATGCCGGTAAGCCATGAGCCATGTGGCAAGGTATAGATTTATAGAAATGGATTAATTTAAGATACAAGAACAGTTAGCAAGAAGCCTGGCACGGCCATACACTTTGTAAGCAATATAAGTCTCTGTGTTTACTTGGTTGGGTCTGAACAGCTGTGGGACTGGCGGGTGAGATTTGTCCTGACTGTGGGCCAGGCAGGAAAACTCTAGCTACACATACCTTTGAGCTCAACCTAGGCAATTAGCACATTTTATTATTTTTATTTTTTATTTTATTTTATTATTTTATTAAAACCCTTGATTCATTCCAGTCTAGAGTCCTAATGGAGTCTGCAGGTGACAGGCAGTCCTACTTCACAAGCCAGCTCAGGCATTTATGAATTCCTTGAGCTTTGGCAAGTAATTTAACATCTCAGAGCCCCTGTTTACAAAGCAGGTCAGAGCCCTAGCAAGCTCAGGGTTGTTGGGTGGCTTCAGAGACAATGTAAGGAAAGTGCTTGCTCCAGGCCTGGCCTAGAGCTAGATCTCTCCAAATGAATGATGGCTTTCTCTCAGCAGATCTTTGTGGAGACCTCTGTCTGCAGAGAGCTACAGAGTCATACTACGAGTCAGTCTTCCATGTGAACACATGTGAGCTAGAAACCTGAGTTTTATAACCTCTGGCTTTCTTAATGAACAACTAGAAACAATATAGATGATATTTTAGCACCTTGCAAAAGAAGCCTATAAGCGACGATGATGATACAATTGTGTGAAAAGAGGACTCTTCCTTCTTGGTGCTCACCATGGCTACAGATTTAGCCACCCTTCCTCAACGGAGAAATCCCATAGACTTCCTTTCCAGGAACTCTAGTTACCTGATGTTCACCCCACTTTCTGAGGTGGTTTATGTGCTGGCTGCCCAGAGACTGGCCACTTGAATTTCAAGCAAGTTTGTAATTCCTTCTTGTGCATGCTATAGCATATAACCCCACACGACTGATTCATTAACATGGCATTTAACTTAGGAAAAAAAAATAAAGCCTGTTGTGGGATATTTGTACACTGTGTAAAGATATATTGCTGTGACTGGTTTAATAAGGAGTTGAATGGTCAATAGCTAGGCAGAAGATACAGGCAGGACTTCCAGGGAGAGGAAAGAAGAGAAGAAGGAATCAAGGAGTGGGAGACATCAGGAGATATGGAGAGGAAACGGAGGTGCAAGATGGAAGAGAGGTAATGCTACATGACAGAGCATAGATTAATATAAATGAGTTATTTTACGTTATAAGAACTAGTTAGGAACAAACCTAAGCTATAGGCTGAGCTTTTGTAATTAACAAGAAGTTTCCATGTTATTATTTGGGAGCTGGCTGGTGGG